AACAGGCCCTTAGGAGTGTTGCCAAAGTTTTAAGAATGTAGTTCAAAATTTGTTCAACCTCGGTGGGCGGTGGTGGCACACGCCTTTAATCCCAGCACTCAGGAGGCAGAGCCAGGTGGATCTCTGTGAGTTCGAGGTCAGCCTGGGCTACCAAGTGAGTTCCAGGAAAGGCGCAAAGCTACACAGAGAAACCCTGTTAACTGAGCAGGGGCGACCCAAGTGGAATGTGGGTGGCACCACCCCCATGGGCCAGGGTCCCCAAGTGAGTGCAAAGGAGAAAGTGAGTTGAGCCCTAGCATTCACCTCCCTGCTTCCTGAGTGCATGTACGGTGTGGCAAGCCACCTTCCAGTCCTGCCCAGTGCCTGGTCAGGATGGGCCACACCCCCAACCCTTCCTAAACACCTGAACTCCCTTCCTAAGTTCCTTTCCTTAAGTAGGTTGTCACAGAGACGTGAGAAGTCACTGATACAGGACTTCCCATGTACCATGACAACACCCTTTTCTCCTTTGTTAGGTTTAAGCTAGGTACAATAATATTAGATAACGTGTGAGCCAGTGAGATGGCTTTGTGGGTAAAGGCGCTTGCTGCCAAATCCAAGGACCTGAGTTCAATTCCTGGGTCCCACATGGTAGAAAGAGGGGGCTGTTCTGGTTTGCCTTTTTTTTTTTTTTTAAAGATTTATTTATTTATTATGTATACAGCATGTATGGCTGCAGGTCAGAAGAGGGCGCCAGATCTCGTTATAGATGGTTGTGAGCCACCATGTGGGTGCTGGGAATTGAACTCAGGTCCTCTGGAAGAGCAGTCAGTGCTCTTAACCTCTGAGCCATCTCTCCAGCCCTCTGCTTTGCTTTTCTGTTGCATGGTAGCACCATGACCAAAAGCAGCTTGGAGAGGAAAAGGTTAATTGGTCCGCTGTCACAGTCCTTCGCGGAGGAAGCCTAGGCAGGAACCTAGAGGCAGGACTTTCTACTGGCTTGTTCCCACACTCATGTCCAGCTTCCATTCTTATACCCCAGGCCGCCTGCCTAGGGACCACACTGTACAGTGGGCTGGGCCCGCCTGCATCAGTTAGCGATTGAGGAAATGCCCACAGGCCGCTGTGATGGGGGTAATTCCTTAATTGAGGTTTCCTCTTCCCAGGCAAGCCAAGTTGACAGCTGAAGCTAACTATAACAAGAGTCTACTTCAGAAAATCATCCTCTGGTCTGCACATGTGCACCACATCTCTCTCTCTCTCTCTCTCTCTCTCTCTCTCTCTCTCTCTCTCTCTCTCTCTCTCTTTCTTTCTCTCTCTCTCTCTCTCACACACACACACACACACACAATTATTTATATTGAGACAAGATCTGGCTGTGTAGCATTGCCTGGCCTGGAACTCACTGTGTAGACCAGCCTGACCTCGAACTCCTAGGGATCTGCCTGCTTCTGCCTCCTGAATGTTGGTATTGAAGGCATTGCACTACCACGCCCAGTTTAAAAATTTTTTTTTTTCCAATACAGGATTTCTTCTCTGTGCGGCCCTGGCTGTCCTGGAACTTGCTCTGTAGACCAAGCTGGCCTCGAACTCAGAGATCTACCTGTCTCTGCCTCTGCCTCCCAAGTGCTGGGATTAAAGGCGTGTGCCACTACCACCCAGCTAAAACTATTTTATTTGAAATTCATTTTTATTTTATGAGTACAGCTGTTTTGCCCACATGTATGGCTTGTGTACTATGTGCATGCAGTACCCCTAGAGGACAGCAGAGGGCACCAGGCCCCTAGAAACTGGAGTTACAGGTGCTTTAAGTCCCCACTTGGGTGCTGGAATTCAAACCCGGGTCCTCTTCAAGAGAAGCCAGTGACTTTTTAGCTGCTGAGCTGTCTTTCTAGCCCCCAGATGTTAAAATAGACAATAAAATCTTCCTCCATCCAGTTTCCTAGGCTGTGTCCCAGTTTCTTGGTCTGCCAAAGGTACCCTGCCTCTCCCTACCCTCAAGCTGAAAACCAAGCATTATCTGCCTGTGAATCACGTCGCTCACCCAACCAGTCCCACATCCAGGACTCTGTGGCAACAGCTTTGCTGACTAGTCCTCACTCAGCCTGGCCACCCTGTCTGCCTGGCTCACCAGCCCTGACCTCAACTCCCTTCCATGGCGCTCCAGCTGGAGTGCACTTCACGCCCTGTGGTGGTTCCCTTCTGACCTTGCCTTTCTCTGCCTCAGACTCCATCTGCTCCGGAAGCCCTGGGCTTTATTGCCTTCTGGTAATGACAGGCATGCCGCCTGCCAGGCACTCTGCTGCAGTCTTTATAACTCCTGTTCAGCTTGGGAATTACTGCCTGTTTTGCAAACGGGGAAAATAGCAAGTGCATTGTGTGGGTCATACTGCATGTAAATAGCAGAGCTGAGGAATCAGCCTGTCTGTCTGGTCCCAAGACCTCCTCCTGAGCCTCTGAACCCATCAGGCCTCCGCCACCTCCCCTGCCCTGCCCCCTCCCGGTCTCCCCACATCATACCCAGTCTCTAGTCCCCAGCTTCTCTGATGTTCCAGCTCACAGTGCTCCCCCTCCCTCTTAACTCCGCCCGAGGCAATCCAGCCTTGCACAATTTAGTAGTTAATTACAGAGTGACTTGGATGGGTCTCTGGTTAGTTCACATTTGCCTGCCAGACTCCCAGGAAACCTGTTAGTATCTGGTTTGGGGAAGTTGGTGGGGGCGGCGGCGGCAGCGGCAGTGGCAGTGGCAGCGGCGGGCACTTCTCCTTGTTCCCATTGCCAAAAGCCATTGGCTCCTTCCTGCCACACCCCCGCCTCTGCCTCCTTAGCATGTTGCACACTCACACACACACATGCACACACTCACACACACACACCTAATCAAAAACTGCCTTCCAAACCTGACGTTTAGATGTCTGAAGCTATCTACATAGGATGGAGCGCTGGACCACTCCTTCCTCAGTGGTTACTGGACATTGCCCTTACTATGTGCTTCCAGTTTGGATCAACAAAACCATCTGAGTTGATGGGAGCTCCTGGGACCAGGAAAGACATTGATGTCACCACCTACAGAGAGGCCAGGGTCGATTGAGACTTGGAGGGGGACAACTTGGTGTCTCAGTTCTAATTCTGGTCCTGATGCTGTGCAGTGATAGTGATGGTGATTGCTGTGCCGATGGAGGAGGAAGGGGAGGAGAAGAGGGAGAGGGGGAGATGAGGAGAGGGAGGAGGGGGGAGAGGAGGAGAGGGAGGAGAGGGGAGAGGAGGAGAGGGAGGGGGAGCAGGGAAGCTTTTACAGCCTTAGTGATCTGCAGTGACATTTTTGGGCTCTGAGGAAAATCACTCCTCCCCAGGAGGGGAGCCCTAGAACTAAGCCTAGTCCCTAAAACTAACCCTAGTCCCCAAGCCCATGACCGCCCCTCCCGCCCACCATCTGTTTATCTGTGTGATCATCCTGGAGTGACAGCTTTCCTCCTATACACTTAAGGCCGCACATTGGCTGCAGACATGGGTCAGTGCTTGATGCTTTCCCAGAGGCCCCGGATTCAGCTCCCAGCACCAACATCAGGCAGCTCACAACTGCCTGTGACTCCAGGGGATCCGATGTCCTCTTCTGGCCTCTGCAGGCAACTAAAATAACATGCACAGGGATTGGAGGCAGGTGAGCCGTCGACCGGGCATGAGAGATGGGTAGAAGTCAACTTGACACACTGTGAAGAGGGAGCCTGTCTGAGGGTTTGCCTCCATCAGATTGGCCTGTGAGCAAGTCCTTGATTAACGATTGATCCCGCCCACTGTGGAGCATCCCACCCCTGGGCAGGTGGTCCTGGGTTACATAAGAATGCAATCAGTGAGCAGCATTTCTCCATGCCCTCTGCCTCAGTTCTTGCTTCCCTGACTTTCCTTCATGACGGATCGTAGGCTGTAAGCTGAAATACCTCCCCCAGTTGCTTTTGGCCATGGTGTTATCACAGCCATAGAAAGCAAACCAGGCCAGACCCCCAGGCCACACTTCAACCCTGTTACAGTTTTGCCCAGAGCCAATCCTAACGTAAGAATAAATGAGGAGAGGCGCTTATGTAAGAACATTTCCAGTTTGGGGAGGGGTGGAGGAGGGGCATGGCTGGAAGTCAGGGGGACACCTGGGGAGGGTGGCTTGTCACTCTGTCCCTGCGGCAGCCTGTCAGTGAGGGAGGCACAGGCACAGGGCCACAGGGCGAGGCACTGGCAGAGATTTTGCAACTGGCTGCCAGGGCTGAGAGGCCCCGCCTCCGGAGCAGGGAATGCCCCGCTCCTCGGTGCACTTGGGATGGGTGGAGAGGGCTGTGTCAGGAACCTGTGCCCGGCGTGAGTCTACTTAGGCCATGAAGCCAGCAGGGTTTCTGTAGGGCCCTGCCCGTGACTCTGGGGGCCATCTGCCTTTCATCCAGGCCCTGGGGTCCCTTATCAGTCTTTCGGGGTGCCTCTTAGCAAAGCTCAGCAGGCCCAGGAAGTGGCTGGGTGAACCACCCATGGGTGCCTGGCTGGAACAGTAGAGTCGCCACATTCCAGGCTCTTGGCTGGCAGGGCAGGAGACACTGAGCCAAGGCAGACAGGTTCCTCCTCGTCCACCGGGAGGCCAGGGGCCCCGAAGATGGAGGAACAGGTGTTCAAGGGGGACCCGGACACCCCTCATTCCATCTCCTTCTCGGGGAGCGGGTTCCTTTCCTACTACCAAGCTGGGGCCGTGGACGCTCTGCGAGACCTGGCCCCGAGGATGCTGGACACGGCACACCGCTTTGCAGGGACGTCAGCTGGAGCGGTGATCGCAGCCCTGGTCATCTGTGGGATTGAAATGGGTAAGAAGACCTTTATTCTGGGGTCTCCCGGGGGCGGGGGGCTGCTGGAGGGACTCCTCTGAGCAGGACCTTAACCGCTTTGGAAGTGCTTTGGGGACAAAGCCAGAGCTAGCAGCTAGGAAATGAGACGGTCAGTAGGATCGTGGTCGGCCTCGAGGTGTGCCAGAGTGCCCGTTGGTGAGCAGAGACCTTCCACGGTGCCCTTAGCTGTGGGCTGCCCTGTGCCCAAGCCAGAAGGAAGGAAGCACAGTCCCTCCCGACACACAGACAGACAGACAGACAAACACACACACACACACTCCTCCCTCGGTCCTATCATGAGTGAGGCTGGGTGAGGCTTCCTCTAAAATGCAAACACCCAGGGAAAAGCAGTGATTCTCATCCTCCTCGTGTGGAGGGGATTCCCACCGGAAAGCTGCAAGTCTGAGGTTTGAGGAGAGGCAGGAACAGAGTGGGGCACAGCGTAGGAGCTTCGTCTCTGTCCTGGTGGGTCACGGGCCACAGTGCTGACCCGGGGCTATGAGCAACAGTCTCCCTGTCCAGCAGTGTAGAGCACAGGCCTGACCACCACCCCTGCCTGCTCAGTGCCAGGCCGCCATGCAGGCCCTTGTGGAACTGAAGTTCTAGAATGTTTCAGAAAGAAAAGAGATAAATTTAAATAGGGATGTCTCCCCTGTCATGATGGGAAGGGACAGGGGTCTGTGCAGAAACTGAAGCTGGCCCGGGATGAAGGGAGAAAGGGGCACCGCGTTTGAAAGATGTTCAGGGAGGGCCATGCTGAGGAGGTGGCGTCCAAGTGGATGTTGCATAAAGTGGGGTGCAGAGGAAGGGCCTTTCCGGAGCCCGGGGTGATGGACCTGAGGGGGATGCGGGGTGAGGGGAGGTCGGAGGTGACGATTGAGGGGTCAGGTGACCTGAGACTACAGCCGCCAGCTCCTACCTGGTGCTGACAGCGGTGGGCCGCCAAGAGTGTGTCCCTGAGTCCTGGTCCTGGCATTCCAGGCTGTAGAAACAGAGGCCAGTTGCTGAACTTGCTGGGCTCAGTTTCCTCCACAGGGCAATCCCCGTGATGCCCTGACCTGGGGCTGAAGGAGGAACCGTGTTGACAGGAGTGAACTGCTTGGTGACTGGGAAGTGCTGGAAACCGCCAACTATCTAGTGTGACGGTTTTAAGGACCCCCGGCTGCTGGGCAGCTTGGGTTGGGGATAGACACCAGGTAGGAGACCAGTGTGCCGTGTGGATGGTGTAAGGATGGGAGATTGGGTTTAGAATGTGCTAGAAGGTAGAGCTGATGAGACCAACTGAAGTGTCAGCTGTGAGATGTCTCTGAGGAGGCGGCACCTGGTACCCTGCTTCCTGGACCTCTGCTGGGGGGGGGGGGTCTTTATCTGAGAGCATGGCAGTCGAATGCTCACTAAGTACCACGTCCATGCAAGGTGTCTTTTCTTTCTAACAGTGTAAGAAACGATGGGGAAACAGAGTTAAAGTTTCTACCCATCCTGCGGGTCCTAGTCCACTCTTCTTCTCCAAGACGGGGCCAAGAAAGGGCCAGAAGATCTTTCCGGATCTTTCTTAGGCACAGGGCCCTCTGTGGGTACTCTCTCACTGCCCGTCCAGTGGGAGGATGCCAGGCCTGCAGAGAGGGGCCCGGGGTAAGAGTTGGTCCCTCCTGAGAATGCAGACTCACTGCCCTGGAGACAGTGCACCTGGAGGAGGCGGCCCTGGCCTTAACTGGTGTCATCGTCCCCCCCCCCATGACCCCACCCTCCCTTTTGTTTTATTTTAGGCAGGGTCTCGTGTAGCACAGGCTGGCCTCGAACTCTTTATGTAGCCGAGGATGACCTTAACTTCTACTGATCCTCCTGCCTCTTCCTTCAAGGGGTTACAGGTGTGCATTACCATGCCCATTTTTGTGGTGCCGGGAATTGAACCCAGGGCTTTGCACATGCTAGGGAAGCACTCTACCCCGGCCTCAGTCCCTGCTGCCTTTATATCGAGTTCTTAAAAATATACCATCCCAGTGAGTTTATGGCAAGACTTTAGAATCAATTCAGTTTATTCCGTTGGAGAAATAAGAAACCTGCTTAGTCAGCCTGAGGCCGCCATGGAACTCGGGGAATGGAAGGAAGAAGCCATGAAGAGGCCTCTGTGAGGGATCAAGGCCTAGACCCAGCATGGCTCATGAGCATGGAAGGATGTAAGCAGGGGTGAGGTGTGAGGACCAATCCAGCTCAGCCATTTAACTGCCCAGTGATTTCCTGATAAGCGGCATGTCCTTTGTATCAGACCCCCAACTGAGTTTTTACCACATTAAGTCACCCAGACCTCACAACACCTGAGGTGAAAACTATTATTATCTCCCGTGACACAAAGGAGGAAACTGAGTCACAGGGTACTTATACAACTTGCCTGAAGTGATACAAACAGTGCTTGGGAAGATGCAACCTGAACCTAGTCTGGCCAGAGTGGACACTTCAAGATAGTCATGTCGCTGCTGAGTAGAGCGGACTCCCGTGGGACGCCGCTCCCATGGGACGCTGCTCCCGTGGGACGCTGCTCCCATGGGATACTGTCTTTGTGGCTGCAGGGTTAGCTATGTGGGAAGGAGAGCTTTTACCAGGCCTGATGCAGTGAGAGGGTAGGCTGCAACATGTCTTGGACCTGGGCCTAGTGGTGCACACCTTTAATCCTAGCACATGGGAGCCAAAGACAGGCAGATCTCTCAGTTTGAGGCTAGCCTGGTCTAGTAGAGAGTTCTAGGACAGCCAGGGCTGTGTAGAGAGACTGTGTCTCAAAATATAACAAAACACCAAAACCAAAGAAAATTTTGTTAAAAAAAATTTAAAGAGAACACCTTGGGAAGAGCATTTTATGTAGCCAAAACAAGTGATCAGGGTGCTGACCCGTCCGTTATCGGGAGCTCACTGGGGTCCGGACCCAGGTCTCCATGTGCCATCAACACCAGACCCCTGAACATTGCTTTGTGGGTGCACACCCCGAGTCCTGGGATTGTAAAGAGTACTGCAGTGAGCAGGCTGGCTGTGCTGGCACGCCCGTAATGCACACTAGCCCATAATGAACACAAGCCCTTCTAGACTCCAAGGGAGTCTGTCGTGGGCTCTTCTACATCGTGCTAGAGGATTCTTGGAAGCGACTGTACAGTTTAATCCCCAGAGACACACAGGAGTGTGTGTGCGTGTGCGTGTGCGTGTGCATGTGTGTGTGTGTGTGTATGCGTGTGTGTGTGTGTGTGTGTGTGTGTGTGTGTGTGTGTGTGTGTGTGCTCCTATGTGGAGGCCAGAGGACAGCCTCAGGTGTCACACTCGGGAACATGGTCTGCCTCCACTGAGTCAGTCTCTCAGTGGCCTGGAACTCACCAATTAGGCTAGAATGCCTGGCCAGGGGGCCCCAGGAATCCTCCTGCCTCTGCGTCTCCAGTGCCAGAATTTCAAGCATACCCATGCACACATGGGTATGCACTTTCAAGACATCTATAAAGAAACGGTGTATCATCTTTTATGTTTATGTGTATGGAAGTTGACCTGCGTGTATGTCTGTGTGCCATGTGCCTGTCTGGTGCCCACAGATCTGCTTTCCTCTTCCCCCTCCTCCCTCCTCTCCCTCTTCCCTCCTCCCCTCCTGCTCCTTCCCTCCTCCTCAAACCGTGACTCAGTTATTCTCGGCCCCTTTCCCCGCTCCAACACGAAAGCTGAGATTTTATCTGAAACTATACCTTCCCATGATAAACATAACCCACCTCTCTGCTCATTATGTCCTTTAATAAAGACACTGTGTGTCGTTTATCCAGTTTATCGATTTAGGAGCTTTTGTTTTGTTTTGTTTTGGACTCACTCTATAGACCAGGCTAGCCTGGAACTCATGGTGATTCTCCTGCCTCAGCCTCCTGGGATAGATTTATTTCTAAGGCTCTTGTGGTTTTTACTGCTGGGAGGGGATTTCCTTTCCCACGGCATTCCCTGGTGGCTCAGCATTGTGGTAGCAGGGTCTGAGGGTGTCGTCGTCCCCCCCCCCCACTGCTCTTGTTCTCGGGCATCTGGCTCATATCTGAGTAGCTGTAAAAGTGCGTTCATTACCTCATAGTTTATGTGTGGTCACTGTGTATAGAACTGGAGATCTGTGGCTTTTTGTTTTGTTGTGTTTTTTGTTTTTCAAGACAGGGTTTCTCTGTGTAGTTCTGGTGCCTGTCCTGGATCTCGCTCTGTAGACCAAGTTGGCCTCGAACTCACAGAGATCTGCCTAGCCCTGTCTCCCGAGTGCTGGGATTAAAGGCATGTGCCACCACTGCCCGGCTAGATCTGTTGCTTTTTGGAATTACTTTTATTACATTTATTTATTGTGCATATATGTGCGTGCATGAATGAGTGTGTGTTCGTGTGCAGGCGCACAAGGGCCACAGTGAGCATGTGGCCAGAGGGCAGTTTCAGGGGTTGGCTCTCTCCCTCTACCATGTAGGTCCTATGCCATGTCCTTGCACAGCTTGGGTCCTCGAACCCTCACTAGGGGCATCAAGGGAATGGAGACATGACAGACACGCACAGACAGGATAGGCTAGGATGGTGTGGGCGGGCCTTTCTGATGGGGAGACCACAGCTCCGTGGAGGCTCAGTGTGTTTGTTATACACAGTTGAACACGGAGGCAGGGTATTGCGTACAGATAAACCAGGAGGCAGGTGATTATACAGCTGGACGAGGAGGCAGGATTAGTCAATCCCGGTGGGAGGGATCTCTGCAGGGAGGCAGTCTGCAGGCTGGAAATACTAGGGGGAGAAAGCGATGGTGGGCATTTTCTGCACACACTAGCGACACCCACCCCCAGACTAGAGAAGACTTTGCCACGCCCATAAGGCTGAGGCACTGGGTCCTGGGCATGGCAGTGCCCATGCCCACAGCACACATTGACTCAGCCTTACTCACTTAGTGCTTCCTCTGCTCCCCACAGTCCTGGGTATCAAACTCCGGCCATCAGGCTTGGCAGCAA